AGTATTTTTGATCAATTATTACATGTTGGATACTGTTAGGTGCTCTTTTTTACAATCATTTACTCTCTCTTCTGTCTGCTGTTAGGCAATGGTATATTTGCAGCTAGAAATTCTCTCTCCATTTCTAATCTTCTGATGCTACTGGAAAACCAAAATGCTTAAGCCAATTCAAATTGTTAAAGGGAAAGGGAATACATATGAGATTTACTGCATTTCTCTCAGCCAATCAGGTCCTGTTTTTCATTACCAATAGGCTGTTGGCTTCCGATACTGGGCAATTGAGATTATTAATTGCCATTGGACAAGTAAGTCATAACATTAGAACTAGAAACGTGGTCAATGTCACCAGTTTGCTGGTTCGACTCTGTGTGTCTGTGTTTGGACACATGTACAAGGTTCAATTCGTCTAGACTTGGCTCTCTGGCAGGATGGCTAAGCAGAGCTCCCAGTTTCCCAGGAATTTTATTTGAAGATATTTTACTTACCTTTTACCAAACAGTATTGCTTTCTTTGGGATAGAATTACTCTGGGAGAAGAAGAAAGGACACTGATAAATAAGCAATTTCTGGAAGCTATCATCACTGTCAAATAATATTCAGTGAACCATTGACTTATATTTAGTTAACATTTCACAAATTCTTTTCATATGCATGAGCACATGTAATTTTCAAAGACAAAAGTTTATTTTATGTATTTATTAATATTATTGTTGTTTTCCTTAGCTTTTTGTATATTGACATGAATAAGCTGAGAGACAGAAAGGTAAAGTATGTGGCCCAAGGTCACAGCTAGAAAGCCAGGCCTGGAGCCTGGGTCCTCTGACCCTGTGTTTGGCTCCGCATGGCACCATTCCACCGTCTGTCTACTCAGCCAGTGACTCTTACAGAAGCTTCCAGGCTGTGAAGACCACACAACACACCTTAAGAGATAAGTTTGAAAAGCTATAAACATCTAAAGATGCGAATCTATCTTGGACTCCTGTGGCATCTCGCTTTCAAAATATTTTCTCAGTTATTTCATTGCCCTTTTAACTTTCTTGTGAGATAAAAAGGAAGAGTAATTACGACCACATTTTAGAGCTGTGGAAATGAGGCTCACAGAACTGAAATTAGAAACCTTCTGGATTACAAATTTGGCTCTCTAGCTCGAGTGAGATTGAGTGGTGTGCCAGACAGGTGCTCAGGCAGCTTCTCTAGAAAGTTGCTCACGTGTTACTAGATCTTTGAACCACGATGGCACTCTGATGAGCCCGATGAAGGCAACTCTACTCCTTCTCTGATAGGTGGTTAGAAGGGACACTTAGAAGAGCCACTCGGGATAGACGGTAGGACACATCAGGGAGCATTCCATGCTTGGTTCTAGAGAGATGGGTCCAGTTAATTTTAGGAGTTTTGTTTGCTGAGTAGAATATGCAAGCTTGGGCACCAGAATGTCTTATTCAGAACAATGAGAGAACGCTGGACATGGTCTAACATGTATCCAAACATCTGCATGACCCCAGGACAACAGTCAACCACTGGTATTTGCTTTTAAGGAAGATGAGATCTCCTTTCTGAGATTATTAGGACCGTTTATCCTGACTACATAAAATTTCTTGTGATTTTCAGTCTTGTCTCTAAATTCAATATAAATTTAAAAATTAAAGTCCAACAAAAGTTTATCTTTTTGCTCTATATGCTTGCTGCCACAAGACATCAAGCAGGACAAGAGAACTGGTGCGCTATATCTAATTGTCCTGTCCCCTTCAGATCTTTGTATGTGTGCTGGTGGCTTCATGATGCCAAGTAAACAGACACTGAAGCTGTATTATAAAGAAGTTTCCTATGTTTTAACTCACAGGCCAACTCTGGTTAGATGGTGACAGATGCCTGGTGTACTGGGTTGTGAAAGATTCAGGACCATATTGGGAGTATCAGGAAATAGTACTGTGATTGCAGGAGATAGGA